CTCTCTCTCTCTCTCTCTCTCTCTCTCTCTCTCTCTCTCTCTCTCTCTCTCTCTCTCTCTCTCTCTCTCTCTCTCTCTCTCTCTCTCTTGGATTCATGCTGCAGACACCCAGTCTGGGTCCCAACAAGTTCCAAGTCCCAGCGCCGTCCCGGAGGGTCTAGAGGCTGAAGTGCCGTAGGTCGGTAGGTGTTTGTACCGAAGCGTTGTAGATCGGTAGAAGTCCGTCCGCTACTCGACAAGAAAAGTCCAGAAGAGTCCAGTCTGGTCCGACAGTCCCAAGTTGAATGTCACAGCATGTCCCAGGAAAGTCCGGAAGCTACCAGACCGACAAAATGTTTGCAGCAGACAGGCCGTGGCAGACCGGTACCGGTCTGAAGCAGGCCAAGCCAAGCCTCACGTATATTTTTTTCAATAACTCCTTCCTTTCTCTCCTCATCCTCTCTCTTTACTGTCCTCTGTTGATGTGACTGCGATGAATGTTGGTGTGTTGTGACCTTCAGCAAGTGTGTAAGCCGTGTGCTTAACTCTCTCAAGCCAAGCCAAGCCAAGCCAGGCCAAGTCCTATATTTAGCTGCTACAGTGCAGCGGCTCATCACTTGTTCAGTTGTGAGATGCGGAAGTGCTGCTGCTTGTGCGTTAAGGCAACTTGGGAAGTACGTGCCCGAGGAAGAAGAGGGTGCACTCGTGTGACCCAATAGCTAGGGTAGGGGAAGAGCAGGAGGACGGCGGCCATAGCCGCCAAGGTGTAAGCGTACCTGAGTGGGTGTATCCAGGGTGACGATCTAGGTTAGTGAGAGAGATAGAGTGAGGCAGAGCGAGCCAAGTCAGATAGAGAAGAAAGACGAGAGAGAGGGAGAGAGAAGGGAGAGAAGCCATAGCCGCCACCTGATTGAGATCCGTTGTGTGTGTGTGTGGGGCAGAGCCGCTGGAGACTAACATTCTTGTATATTGTTAATAATATTGGAGATGACATCTTCGAGTGTCGATTGGATCTTGATTTGGCTTCTCAGGTGTGAACTCTCATGTGAATGTTCATTGACGCGTGGGAGGTTGAACTTGATGAGCACTTGGCTCATGTCACTCTCTCTCTCTCGCTC